AGTACTTACGCATTTTTGAAGATTATATATTACATTTTGTCTATTTGTTTTAATACGTGTACACTTCTTTTCACAGCAAGAAACTTAAAATATGCTATGAAAATACTGCCATGCATGTTAAGAAAACAAAGGCAAAATATAAGCCCCGCCCACCCGCCCTATCTCAATTCTGATGATTTTTTTTATTCGCCGTGAGCCGAGGGGCGGAGCTTAATTGTAAAATCTTTATTTTTCCACGAGAAATTAGCATGTGAAATTTGTTCTTAAGTCATCATGTTATACAAAGAGAACTAGATGTATTAATTAAAAAAGAAAACCAAAAGAGAAGCTACACCCATCCGTCTCGATCTCAATCGTGATGAATTTTTCATTCGTTGTCAGAGGAGCGGAGCCTAATTGCAAAATTGACATTTCCCTATACAAATTTACCATTTTAAATATGTTGTAAGTTTCTTGTTGTGAAAAGATGACTAGACATATTAAGAAAATAAGGCAAAATGTAGCCGTGCCCACCCGCCCTGCCTCCATTGTGATGATTTTTTTATTCGTCGTTAGCCAAGGGGGCGGAGCTTAACTGCAAAATCCTTATTTCTCTACGAGAAATTAAAAACATGTTTTTGAGTATCGTGTTGTTTAAAAAAAAATACTACATATATGTATATATTAACAAAAAAATAAAGCCAAAGATTAAGCCCCACCCATACGTGCCCCGACCTCAATTCTCAATTGTGACGAATGTTTTATTCCTTGTCAGATCGAGGGGCGGGGCTTCACTGCAAGATCTATATTTGTCTACAAGAATTTACCATTTTAAACATGTTTTAAATTTCTTGTTCTGAAAAGACGAGTACGTATATTAAGAAAAAAGCAAAATGTAAGCCCCGCCCACCCACCCTATCTCAATTGTGATGAATTTTTCATTCGTTGTCAGATCGACGGGCGGGGCTTAATTGCAAGATCCATATTTTCTTACAAAAATTTACCATTTTGAACGTGTTCTAAGTTTCTAATAATAAAAAAAATCATTACAATTGAGATGGGGTGAGCGGGCGGTGTTAATATTTTGCCTTTTTTTCTTAATATACATAGAATTTTTTGAACAAGACGCTACTGAAAATCATGTTTTTAATTTCTTATAAAAAAATAAATATTTTGCAGTGAAGCTCCGCCCCCTTGGTTCACGGCGAATAAAAAAATCATCACAATTAAGCTTATATTTTTCCTTTTTTTTTTTTAATATACATAGCCATCTTTTTACAACAAGAAACTTAAAACATGCTTCAAATTGTACATTTTTCCAAGGAAATATGGATTTTGCAATTATGAAACGGGGCCTAATTGCAAAATCAATATTCTCTTATACAAATTTTCCATTTTAAGTATGTTTTGAGTTTCATGTTGTGAAAAGAACAAGACAAAATGTAAGCCCGCCCAGCCGCCCTATCTTAATTGTGGTGACTTTTTTTATTCACCGTGAATTGTTCTTTACAAGAAATTAAAAACATGTTGTTCCAAGAATACCATGTATATTAAGGAAAAAAGGCGAAATATAAACCTCTCCCTCCCACTCCTTCTTAATTGTAATTATTTTTTTTTTATTCTTAGAAACGTTACACACGTTTAAAATGGTAATTTTTTAAAGAAAATATGGATTTTGCAATTAGGCTCCGCCCCCCGGTCTGGCAACGAATGAAAACTTCATTACAACATATTTAGGTCAGATCAGGTATGGGTAGGGCTTAATCTTTGGCTTAAATTTTTTCTTAATATACACAGTATTTTTTTAACAACGTGATACTCAACAACATGTTTTTAATTTCTCGTAGAGAAATAAGGATTTTGCAATTAGGCTCCGTCCCCTTGGCTCACAACGAATAAAAAAAATCATCACAATTAAGATAGGGCGGGTGGGCAGGGCAACATTTTGCCCTTTTCTTCTTGATATGTGTAGACTTATTTCGACAGCAAGAAACTTAAAACATGTCTAAAATAGTAAATTTTTGTAGCAATCAACTTAAATCCGCTAAGCTACGTCAATGGGAACAGCAACTGCAACGGGAACTTCAAAGTCAAAAGCAAGTTTATAAATCTCACTTAAGACTTAAATACCTTAAATCTTAAATGTCTTAAATCAAAAATGATATACTGTGTGCTTTTCATTTTTGTTTGTTATTCTACTGTTTATAATATGCAAAAGTTAGACAAAACAGTGAAATAACATTTAAATGATTAAAAATTGAAAGGAACCGTTCTTCATTTGGAATGAGATGTAGGAACGTATTATATTATCGAATATTTCTAAAGTGGTCGTAAATTTTTATAAAACTGTTTTAGTGTCTCACCAATAAGTCAACTACCTGCAACTGATTCTCCTCTGTCTAAGAACCAGTGTGGTCATTAAGTGTTCCATGAACTGGCTTTAGAAATATAAAGGAAAATAATATTCACTAATTCCAGTTCCAGTATCCCCATTGCCTATCAGATAAATCAAATCAGAACTATTAAATCTCCAAATTAGGGGGAGACAGAACAAGAAGGAAAATTTTGTACAGAAAAACATGATGCGATGACTTGTTATTTTCATTTGAGCAGTGCACCTGACTACCTTTTATCGACGTGTGGTTCAATAAGACGACTAACTGTCTTATTTTTTCTGGTTTAGTTGTATGTTTAGTGGATAAGTTAGTTTGAGAAATTAGATTTTAGAAGAATTAGGTAGTAAGTATTAGGTATATTTTAGGTAGGTTTTATATTTTTATGTTGAATATCATTATGGGCCGTCCATCAAAGAAACATGCCAGCATTAGTGTAAAATGGAAAAAAATAAGGGAAGGTTCGAAATCTAATGTTCAGTCAGTGAGTGTTACAGATGACTTCGCCCTGAATACAGCTATAACAATGACTCAAATAATAATGTTTCCCTTGTGAAAAATGAAAATATATATACACAAACTATCAACAGTTTTGTTCCTTCTGGACGCAAAATTGTTGACGTAGGTCATTTACTGTCAGTTTTGAAATCTATAAATCACAATACGTGTAGTTGCACTTTCGAGAACATGGAAATAAAACTGTATTTTCGTACAAATGTAGTAAGTATGGAATATTAGGTAATTTTAGTAGGTACAGAAAGCGGAGATTTAAAAATAAATAAAATTAATGATGCGGTTGCTTGTTTCTCTCAATTTACACAATTTTGTTCGGCTTTAGATATACTTCAAATGTCCCAGAACACATACAGTAAAACGGAAGGCAGGATTTTAAAAATGAGTGAGGAAATTTGTGAAGAAAGAATTGTAAAAGCAGGTAAAAAATAACAGACTTGTAGTTGATGCTGGTGAAATAGTTAGTGTTCGGGTATAGTCGGGAAACTGAAAATGACACACTCCTGTGATAATCTAAACGTTAGATATGCCACTGTAAATTTCCCCGACTATAATATGGTATATTTCAGTTTCTGTCTTCGTCACTGCATTTACGTAGGTAACGTTTTCCTCTCTAAAATAGTAAAAAAGACGGGCAAGACAGAAACAGGAACATAGAGATGTTGTAATTGGTACAGTTTTACAACACCTTATCAAAATTAAAACAATTCTATTTTAGCAACAATAATCCTTACAATTACCTAGTGGAGCGCAAGTGTCCTATGACTTTTTTGGGAATTAGACCAACCATAGGGCGTAAACTGACCGCCGCGCGCAACTGACCAACACACTAAAATTATACGTGTATTGTGTGTAAATGTTAAACGCATATTGAAAATATATACAATTTTTAATTTTAATTATTGTACGAATTAAATTTTTGACTGCTAAATCATTTAATAACATATTAAACAACTTAAACACAGCACTTTAACGATATAATAATAACACAAAATCACTAATCGTCAACCTAAACATAACCTCGGATTCATTGTATACTTATCTGTTTACATATAGTCTACATTCTTTACCTTGTCTTCAGTTTGTCGACGATCCGAAGTGGGCAATAAAAGTCCACGCGTCATGTGGTAATCATTCAGGTGCTCAGATGTACATACATAAAATTATACGTCGATAGACTAGTATAATATGTCTACAGTGTTGTTTTTGTTAACACAATTAATCAAAATCCTATATTGATAGATGTGTGAATCACACATAGAACTTTGGATTTTTGTTAATTTACCAAACACGCAATTGAAGCCATTATTAATAATTACCGTATTCAGTGATTTGCGTTTACATAGTTCATTAATAACGAATTGTTAACAAATGAACATGTACAACTACACAAATCTGAAGCGACAGTTCGCATTTGCATGTCTATTAATTGCATCATTAGTAAAAAAAAAAAATGTCTTTATTTACTCTCTGAAAATAATTACTGTTTTCCATTAGTATTAGTTTTCTGATTGCGTAAACCCGTCCATTAGTGGTTACGCACCACACAATAGCATGCATACGATTTAAGTTGCGCTCAATGAAAGGTGCTGTACGTGCAGATTCTGCGAATTTGTTTCTTTTCTTGTGTGGAAATAGAGATATCTCGTTAAAATTGATTAGGTATGTAATTTCAGTTCTAAGCTCTCTTTTAAAGCTTGCAAATGGTGTAAGCGTATTCCCGCTAATCACGATTCTAGTGAACGGCTCCCTTAAACCGTTGAATAACGTGTTCTTACAGTAGTTTCTAACAAAACGTGGCACTACACAATCATTTAAAAACCTGCTAGGTAATTACAAGCAGTGAATGGTCCCGATAGCACTCACGAACCATTCCCAACAATACGAAATGTTTATTTTCGAATTACACAAAACTGACACTTCACTATATCACAAAGGATAATAAACTATTAAATAGTCCATAAATCATTACACAAGACAGCATGTCGAATCGACGCGAAAACTGTATGCGTTACTCCAACGCTTTCCCATAAGTATCGGCTTTTATTAATAAGCTCCGCAGGAAGTCCCCATTAAATCACAAAAATAAAACGCCAGTTTTTGAAACAATCACATACTAGTTTATTGTTCGAGATTTTTTGATTTTTGATAACATACCATTACAGTAATTCTATATTTAGATAAGTCATTATAACAACGCATATGTGTGGATACTTTAAGTAGTTCGAGCTACCGAAAAATAGGAACAAAAATTTGTGTGGAGTAAACAAGCGCTTTGTACAATACTTTAAATAATAACATGTTGCATGTATCATACATAACTAAACACAACTATTTGTACACGCTAGAGAATTATTTACATTTATACAAGTGTTAAGTACTTCACTGGACAAAACATATAAATAAATTAATCTGAATTTAAACAAAATTTTTCTAACTATACAGGCACACAAGTTTCGCTACAGAGAATAATGACTACAAACAGTAGCACCCTAAGTACAGTATGATCAATTAAATTTGGGCACGCAAGCAGCAATGAAAATGCAGAAATACAGTCGTGGTAAAAAAATCAAGCGCGTCAATGTTATTCCACTGTCAGAGTGTGAAACTTCTTTACGTATTGTAACCATATTTTTATTTTAGTTTCATCACTTTTGACAGTGCGTAGCTGACACTGGATGAGACATGACAAATCTTTTAAACTTCAAACGACGAAATAACAATAAAGAATAGACTACATCCAAATTTTCAAAATGCCAAAATTATGATGATTTTCTGGCCTCGACTATATGTCGGGGATTAATTCACACTATCAGAAAAAGTAGATGAATGTCACACAACATAATACAAATTAAAACAACGTTTTTGACATTCATTTTTTCATGAAATGTCAAAAATGCAACTTTAAGCACATTTAAAATTATTTTAATGTGTAGCCTAAATGATGAAATATAATTTACACACATTTTAGATCTTAATAGACTGCAAATAGACAGAATAGAATGATATTATTTGTAATTTTAGAGTTCTTTGGAATCTGAAAATGTAAACTATACGTAAATGAGGTGATACGCAAATTGATTTATTCATTTATCATGACAAATCAACTTATTTATTTATAATTATATATATAATTTCATACTTTTCGTGTTTCATTCTCAAATTCCAAAATTATAATAGGAACAGAAATCAAACGTAAAAAACTAGAAAAGTTAATTTCTATGTGATGTACTTTTTTCAATTGGTCCTTCAACCGGCATCAAAATCCTACCGTTGCGAAACTTTCTGTGCTCACTGTACATGCACGCTTAACTACATAATACATACAATTACGTCTATTTTGCTTTTTATTTATAATATTTAGATGAAACATAGTATACACACGTTCACCAATCACATTCACAACCGATCTGGTCAAAATATTACAGTGAGAGGTCTCCGAAACTCTCCTCCTGGCGTCTGCGTTGGATATTGACTCGCATATTGCGCCATGGGCAACAGCCCTGGTACCGAAGGCCCTTGCTGCATCCCGCTGCTGGGATAGTACCCAGGAAGAGCACCCGGTGATGCTCCCGCCGAAGAAGTCGTTGTCGAACTCGAAGAAGAAGCACCGTCCTGCCGTTCTTGGCTGTTTTTGACGTCTGGAGATTCTGGAGATCGGGGGGAGCCGAGATTTCCGGGCACTTGTTGCGTGGAATTGGTGTCCGTGTACATTTTGCCTATGTCGATGGGGTAGGACCGCGATGGGTCGGGGTTGTATTTACTGTCCATGTACATCTTGGAGGACTCGAAGTAGGCCTTGGTGAGTGCTGAAGTGGAATCCAGGTAGCCTCGTTCGAGATAGCTTTTGGAGGAGGTGTCCATGTATTTGGGGTCGGAGTACATGGACATGGCGAGGGTCGACGGGGGGATGTAAGGGGAGCGGTACTTGTCGGCTTCCATGGAGTACTTCATAGCATCCATCGAGCTTACCACCTGAAATTAATAAGAGTTGATTGTTAGTGTCAGTGTTAAGTGAAAATTTGGTGACGATTTTGATATAATATTAAAAGTTTACGTAGGGGAACTATGCAGTATGGTACTACGTTCGTAACAGTGATGTAATATAGGTATAGTTATTTAATTTTAATTTCTAGAAGGTTCTGCAAAATTCCTCTGGGTAGGAACATTAGTTACCCTAGATGACAACGGTTAGTGTAGAGAAAATTTACTTCCAATAAATTGTAACCAACTTTGTCAATACTATCAATAGATGTAGTAGTAAGTACTTACTGCATCAGTAGGTATACAGAACATAATTATATTATATTAATTTAAGACAACATCTATTGAACTCGTATGAGGGATGTTTAAAAGAAATTGAAACTGAGTCATATCCTGGCTCTTTACTTTCTTTGCCTTGAAAATTTTCACCGTTAATTTCTGTCCAAAATGTCATTTTTGGTTTTTTTCTGAAGATAAAACTGTTTGTTACTTTGAAAAAATAACGACAATATTCCACATTTCGTTTTATTCCAGCTAAGTTGGACACGTTAAAACTGACTCTGAATGAACCAATCAAGAGTTTTCCATAAATACTCTTTGGTCCGCAGCAATATTGCCATCGGCCTAATGAACATGAAAGTGTTAAATTTTATTAGTTCTCGATATTTTTATGTATTATAATTAAGATTTTAATATTAATGACATAATAATTAATACCTAGTGGATCCTCTAATTAACTATACATTTTTTGCTCAATAAAATCTTAATGAAAAACTAGAAATAAAATGCAGTCTGCGTCCCACGCAACACTTGAAATATAGACTGTTCGGTAAGACAGGTTTAATGCGTTGGCGTTTAGTTTACGAAAAGCTTATTGGGTTGATTTCGAACTTTATCAAAAGATAAGAGTAATTGATGGAAAGGAAAATGCTCTGCAGTTCGAAAGTTGAAAAAGTTTTTTAAATGGTAATATATTTAATATGCTGTGAATGCTTCCTGGGTGTCTAAATAATACTCCTGGTCTAGAGGTGACAAAAATTGACTTTTCAGTTTCGTGTTTTCCCTTAAAAATATAGACATTTGTTTGTCTCAATATTCTTTTCGATTTATATCTGCAGGGTTACAGTGGCATCAGTTATCGTCGTTAGGATTTTTTTTCATAATTATTTTCTACGTGTTTAATTTCTCAGTTTCCATCCAAAAATGATAAAATTTGATTTTGCGATTTTCGTTTTGTAATAACCTCTATAAAGTAAACACCATGGGCGTTATTAATATGAAATATATTTAAATCAGATAGCCAACGGGATAAAACGTAAACATTCTTAATTTCTCGGGACATTCTTAACTTCGACTGTTTATGTTTATACTTCGAAACAATTCGACTTCTAGCATGCTCAGATTACAAACATCAGTGGTATAAAGAAAATGCAATTTGATTGATTTTGTCTCCTCAACGCAGAGGAACGGATTGATGAATTAATCGACCACATCTAGTTTTTTTTTTCCAAAAACACTCATAAATTTGAAGAAAGAATATTTATCAGACAAAATTGTAAGATGACGGACGAATTTTGATTCAGGGTTTAGCAATCTTCCAAAAACCTTACAATATTTGCCAACATTCGGGTTTTGTAGTTTCAAAGTTAAATTGTAAAATACAATTTTGGACATTTTCCCAAAAATCTGGATGTCTGGGGTAAAAACGAACTTTTAAATCACACACTTGTGATTTCGCCAAAATTGTAAAACGACGTAATCATTTTTTAACGAGGCATACATGAAAAAATTTAGATTAATGATTTACTGTGCTTAGGATAATCTTAAAATGCCGGCAGCTTTCAGAGTACTTTAAAGATAAATTGTATAAGGTATTATGCAACTTTGTTTTCTTTCCCAAAAATTTGGATGTCTAGGTTAAAATTCGACACGGATTCATAAACCACACAAGTAGGAGTATGTAAATTCTATAAAATTTCAAGAAAATGACGTCATTACTTTTTGCAAGATGTCAGAACGTTCGGTTTTGTAGTTTCAAAGTTAAAAAATGCAAAATGTGATATAATTTTGACTTTTTTTTTCGAAAAATCTGGATGTCTAGGTTAAAAACTGAACCCGGAATCATAAACCACATGTGAAGGAGTATCTTAATTAATAAATTTTACATAATAATGTAAATATATATAGTTTAAATGTAATGTAAATTTTGGAGATTACATGTTCCTGTTGTTGGTGGGGATGATTAGACAAATTTTGGTTAGCGTTTTAGCATCTACACCATATTCCTAATACTCCTGTAAAATTTGATAACAATTGGTGCAGTAGTTTCGGAGATTATTTGTCTAATAAAAATCCGGACAAACGGCAGACAGACAGATGGAAACGAGGGACCTATTTTTTCGTACTCTAGGGGTCGTAATTGTCGAGAAAACATAAAAATAGCCAGTCGTCCAGTAGACTCGATTATAGTACTTCCTTAGATTACGCTCAGGAAATAAAAAAAAAATACCTGGTTATTGCGAATCCTAAAAACGAATATAATATAATGAAATTAAACATTAATTCGATTCTTATTTTCATAACCATTATTAGCCTGATTTTGGCATGTCAGAAGCAGTGAGATAGATTATATCGTGTCTACGGGAAGAGTGAATGTACGGTTCATAAGAAATACTAGCACAATAATTGTACGCTCCGAATTCATATAGTGTGACCAGAGAATACCACAAAAGTGACAAGCTGAGGTTTGAGCTAAAATGATCTTTAATGATTACAGATTCCTATTATCTAATGGACCATACAAAAAATTCGTCTAAGATTATTTCAGACCGAAATTCTCTCGCCCCTGAAATGCAGTGCAATACTATATAGATATAAATTTTTCGAAAACTTATAAAATTTGATTTTACGAATTTTATTTTTTTACGAGAACCCCTATAAGTTAAAATAAAGATCTCCGTGGACTCTTAAAGTAGAAGTAAATCATAATATTCGAATGTCTCAAGTGAGTTCATATAACAAATTTTGTGATGACGTCATCAACAATTTGGGAGGGATAAAGAATAAATTTCAGCTAACGATTTACCAAACTTACAATAACCTTAAAACGTTTTCAATATTTCCTAGCATTCGGTTTCAGAGTTTCAAAGTTAAAGCGTAAAATGTTGTTATACAGGGTGATTCATGGAACCACTGCGAATTATATGGCAAAAAATAAGTAAAAAGTTGTGCTAAAATATTGATCTTTTTACTTCCCGAGCGTAAGCAAAGGAAGTATTGTAATCGAGTCCGTCGGCCGACTCTCTACTTTTACGTTTTCTCGATCTTTCATGACCCCTAGAAGACGAAGAAATAGGTCTCCCATTTCCGTCTGTCTGTCCGTCTGTCCGTCTGTCCGTCTGTTGTCACGGATTTTTATTAGACAGATAATCTCCGAAAGTACTCGACCGATTGTTGTGAAATTTTGTACTTATATTAAGAATATCATGTAGATGGTAAAACGCTAACCAAAATTTGTCGAATCATCCCCACCACTAAAGCGATGACGTCACTTCAAAATTGTACATAGCAAATGGGTTTTCAATTGTATAAAATAACATAGTCCTACACATGTAGTTTACAACTCTGAATCGACTTTTCACCCGAAACGTCCAGATTTTTGGAAAAAAAATCAAAATTATAAAACAACATTTTGAAATTTAATTTTTAATCTGCTAACCAGAATGCTTTGAAATGTTGCAGATGTTTTAAGGCTATAAAGAGCATCATAAATCTTTAGTCAAAAAATATTTGCTTATCCCCTCCAAAAACTTGATGACGTCAGCTCAAAAGTTTGTGGAATAAATCATATCTAAAATGTACAAAATATGATGAGTCTGTACTTGTGAACTATCACTCCATTCATATTTTTTGGATTTGCATATACAGGGTGACTTAAAAAAATTAATGAATGCGTAAATATATTTTATTGATTTAATCAGGAACTACAAAACCGAATGCTCTGAAATCTTGCAGATGTTTTAAGGTCATAAAGAGCATAATAAATGTTTAGTCAAAATATATTTGCTTATCCCCTCCAAAAACTTGATGACGTCAGCTCGAAAGTTTGCCGAATAAATCATATCTAAAATGTACAAAATATGATGAGCCTGTACTTGTCATTTATCACTCCATTCATATTTTTTGGATTTGCATATACAGAGTGACTCAAAAAAATTAATGAATGCGTAAATTTATTTTCTTGATTTAATCAGGAACTACAAAACCGAATGCTTTGAAATCTTGCAGATGTTTTAAGGTTATAAAGAGCATAATAAATTTTTAGTCAAAATATATTTGGTTATCTTCTACAAAAAACTGATGACGTCAGCTCAAAAGTTTTCCGAATAAATCGTATCTAAAATGTACAAAATATGATGAGTCTGTACTTGTGATTTATCATTCCATTCATATTTTTGGATTTGCATATGCAGGGTGACTCAAAAAAATTAATGAAGGCGTGAATTTATTTTATCGATTTAATCAGGAATTACAAAACCGAATGCTTTGAAATCTTGGGAATATTTTAAAGTTATTATAAGCATGGTAAACTTTTGTTCAAAATGTATTTGTTCATCCCTCCTAAAAAAATTGATGACGTCACCCTTAAATTTTGCTGAATAAATCCTATCTAAAATGCAAAAAATATGATGAGTTTGTACTTGTGATTTATCATTCCATTCATATTTTTTAGATTTTCTTAAGAGGTGGTTCAAAAAAATTAATGAAGTCAATTTATTTTATTGATTAAATTAAAGGCAACACTTATTATTAGTATTACACCCCAACCAACCCAATTTGGTAGACACAAAATTTGTTAAAGGAAAAACTCGGTTGAAACATAAGGGTAGCACGCTTATTTACATCGACTTTAACATTACAGACCTGCATTTGTTTTATGCGTTCACTTGATTCCGCGAATGTGAAATAGACATGTTTATAATCAACCAATT